ATCCTTGAACGGAGCAGATGAAGGATCGTTAGGATCAGGAGCACAATGACGCTTGATTAGGGTTATACACTCGGACACTTATGAGGATTAGCGGTTTCCGTGTTCACAATGCGCCTTTCTGTTGAAGGCCGTAAGTCTGGATTGGAGGTAGCAGATAGGCAATTGAATTTTTCAAAGTATTGTCCCCGGCCGTCTAAACGTTCTCCGTTGCTGGATATCAGAGCTATTGTGGTCCCTGATAGTTTCGCTGACAAGAGGCTTCCGATACCAGTCGAACGAATCAAGTAGAACAGCCCGCGAACCTTTGTAACGGTTTATTGCCTCGTTCCTTCGGCCTGTCAGGTCCACCAAACTTCTTCGTCTGCATGGGCACTCAGTTTTACCCGGCGTCGGATGATGTATCGGTTTGAGTTGTGGTTGCAGTCAGGAAGAATCTGTGGTCGGGCGTCCAACGAAGCCATGATCCTATCAGAGGTCCACTGTTCGCATCAAGTTCGCTGGGTTGTACCGCTAACGGAAGTTCCGTTTCTGAGTAGCATTGTGGACTTCTGTTCCCACTGGCCGTTCATATCCGACATGGGACGATGTTCGAGGACCCGGCTCTGAATGTTTCGTTTGGTTTCTGGGTCCACTAGCTTCTCCGTGGCCAACAGGGCGTGCGCTTAGTCTACCCACCTGGATCTTCATGTAACCACCAACTACAACGATATCTCGGCCTTTACTGCTTTGTAGAAGAGCATCTAGAGCTTTATAGAAACGGTCTTTATTATATTGAGAGTTTCAGTTTGTGTAGGTAGACACGATAAGTAGGGTGCAGTGGACCTCACGTTTTCGGGATTCTCTCACCCAACCCTGCCTAGACGCTTTCCATCTGTCACTCAATGCAATACTTACCCCAGTATATCCAGCTGCGGCGGCCTCTGCATCAGCGGAGGGAATCCACCGTACGAGCAACAGCCGCTTGTGCTTGATTCAGTGTTCGAACAATAAAGGCAGTAGACCGCCTTTCGTGGTTTGGAGACAGACTTTGAAGTGCTTAGGGTCGTCACTGAAGTCGGACGTACGGAAGCTGTAGCTGAGTGTGGTGAATGCTGAACAAATCGGTCAGCCCTGGTGGTAGGGAGCTTGCTTTTAGCTCAGACATTTGGGTGGGGTAAGGTAGAAGAGGGATAACGTGAAAGTGTATGAAGGGAGGTGTCAGCAGTAGTTTTCACTTAACCACCACAATGTCTGAGCTTTTAGCTCAGACATTTGGGTGGGGTAAGGTAGAAGAGGGATAACGTGAAAGTGTATGAAGGGAGGTGTCAGCAGTAGTATGTTTTCACTTACCCACCCTACTGTATGCATCAAGTAAGTCCAGTCGGCTGGTGCCATCACACGACGGGCGTAGCATGAGAGTATTGTTATGCTTGTACGTGGGCTGGGATACCTTCAGGGTGCCCAGACCTAGACTGGAGGGGGATTAGGGTCGTCGACCAAAGCCTTTGGCACAAAAGCCTGACCGCAATGCAACGGTGTTTTGCGGGAAATGCAAGTGCGTCACCATTTTTATAGAACACGTCGCCACACATGTCCCAACCTCGAACTTGGACGGTCAGGAGACTCCTGGTATGAAAGACTGTCGTAGAGACACCACCCAGTATAGCTCAATGCGTCGTGGAGATACACAAACTGTCATACCATGGTAAGTCCCGATTTTTTTTATTGTCCTCAACCAGGCACAGTGGGGGTCACGTGGTCCCTATCCTGAAAGGCGAGTCACATCGACGGCACTCGGACTTTTGTAGTCTCTTTCATACCTCTCTGTCAGCTCGAAGGTTGGCTACCTCTCCGCTTCCGCCGTTGTGAATTGAGCATGGAAAGCACCACTGTCGGCAAGCGATCGTCTGGCATGCGCAATACACTGTAGCCTTATACGCACGCCATGGTACTCAGGTATACGCCGTTTTGACACCATAGGGTATCAAATTAACAAATGCTACCCGATCCTTAGGCATTCGTGCATTGAGCTCACCTGCCGTACTACAGTCGGAATTAGTACAACTTCCAAGATACGCAAACTACTCCATAACATCGAGTTCTCCTCCTTGGATTGTAAGCAGCGTGTTCAGTGACTGCATGTCGCCTTACGCTCTGTGGGTGGACAGCGTATGCCAAAGGTCGCCATGACTTTGATCGTTTCATGCGAAAACACCTACGTCTTCTCTTTGAAGACAAAAATGATGTCCATATCGATGTTTTCCTCAGCAGATATTTAAACGCCAGGGTTTTGAAGTCCTTTCAGCGTTCGTCTCATTATTGACTCGATCGGGAAGCTGAATAAGAACGCAGTGAACATGCTCGTACACTTTGTGTACGGAAGTTTTTGGGAGCTCCGTGTACTCTTAGGCCAGAACTTCTGAGAATGCAAAGAATTTGTTGTGTTCACAAACCTCCGGGTATTCCTTGCTAGACAAGTGTGCCAACGAGAACAGACCGGTCGACCAAGTCGAGTGCGCCTTTGAAATCCAGGAGTACCAAAATTGAGTCGTTTATACATTTGGCGTTGTTCTAGCACCTGGCGGAATGTGAAGATTTGGTCAACGCAACCCCTACCAGGCCAGAAACCCGCTTGCTGCTCACTTCCTAAACCAGTTCAAGGTTCTCATCACAAAATTGCTGAGAACCGTGGAAGGCTTTCAGTTTTCTACTTCTGACGAACTTTACTTTGTAATCGAAGGAAGGTCAGTTCGTTGTTTTTCGGTATTCAGTTGAAATTGTTCAGCTGTAACACCCTTTCGGTGCCTAATTGCCATGCCACCCGAAGGGGAGCACGAGGGCTGGGATACTGCTGGGTTGCTCAAGTCTATACAGGGGAAGTCGAGAGGCAAAGGTCGGGTTCGAACCACGGACCTCCCGATCAGCGAATTCGTGCTCTAACCACTGAGCCATCTCGCCCCGCCCTGTGGAAGTGACGATGATTATGAACAACCTGACGTTCGAACCGACAGAGTATCTGAACGATTTACTCGCTGTCACCACCAGGTCTGTATGGGGCAACCGAAGGAAACTTTTGAACAACTCAATTCTTTGAACGGGACCAAAAGTTCGATGCATCAATTTATCACCATGTCCTGGTGCTGAAAGACGACGAGTGTTTGAAGGATATTCTGATACTGGGCAGAATATCACCATTATCATCACGGACAGCATGACATCAGTGTTCGCTGCAGTATGGGCAGAATAATCCTCGAAATTGAGGCACGTCCAAACGCTCATCATCGTCAGCTGTAAGAAATGCATACTTGCCTTACAATGGTTATACTGTCGTCTACTGTCGGATCGCTGCATCAACTTGTACCATAGTGAGGCAGTGGCTGAGCGCCATGCGGCGTTTGCTTTCACACGATTCCATTGTGGACCTAAATGATATTGAGGTTAGGGCTAAGACAGGTGAAGCTTGAGAGTGCCCGTGAGGTTTCTTAGGCCAATCGGTGATTGGTTCAACTTGAATGGGACCAGGGATTACCAGTGTAGCAACATTTTGGTTGGAGCCTGTCCATGGAAGACGGTGAAAGCTTCAGCACAATGTGGGGTGCAAAATTGACCACCCATGTATCTGCAGTATAGCCGGAATCGGTTGGAATCAGCGGATTCGCAATGACATGATGAGAGAGAGGATTTTCGGTGAAGCAGAGGGTACTTCATAAAAGTTTGGTTACAATCGCTAGCCAAAATGCAGTAATGTTGCAAAAGTCAGAGTTTGTCCAGTTGCGTATTGATCCCACGCGTCTGAATGAGGCTCCTGCGAAGATAACTACCGAACGCTGTTCAATGTGTATCGAGTGTAGCAAGATTTTTACAAACGTAGATTCGTCCGTGAGCACTGCCTCATCATTGCAGATATCTTCAGTGGGTGATTTGGAGTTTAGGTGCTATCAGTACGATAATAATCGTCGCTGGAATGTGGTCGTGTCCCGAAGAGACCAGACGATTTGGAGTTTAGGTGCTATCAGTACGATGATAGTCGTCACTAGAACGTGGTCGCGTCACGAAGAGACCAGATGTTACCGTGATGTGACGGTTTGCGCACCTCAGCGACCCATTGAGCTATACTGGTGGGTGTCCCCGCGACACTCACAGAGTCCCTCATACCAGGTCGGTCAATGGTTAGAGGTTTAACGAACACAGTCTCCCGGTCCTCCAGATTGAGGGTTGGAACATGTGGCGACTTTTTCCGTTCCAGATTGCCTGAATGAGTGTTTGGAGGTGTATGCACTTCGTAACGGTTGCAGTTGGGTAGCACTGAGTCCCCGCACCATTCACCACTATCATTTTCTTCACAATAAGGCTTTCAAATAAATTAGAGTTGTGCGGCAGCGGAGCATTGGTGTTGAACACCGATGTCATGCTGTCGATGATGATGATTAGCTGCATTTCCCGACAAACGCCGCGGCCTTGCGGTTAGGCTTTTGAGCCAAAGGCTTTGGTTGAGGACCCTAATCGTCCCCCTGTCTAGGTGTGGCCACTCTGTAAACATCCCAGCCCACGTACAACCACGACACCTACGTTCGCAGTTTTCCAGACACGGTATTCCCGACCTGTTGCGTTCAGACAACGAGTTTCAGTTTACAAATGAACAGTTCTCAGATATCCGAGAAAGATTGTTGATTTGATCGTCATGCTGACAACTCATATCAGTTCCCGTCAATTTACAAAACGGGTTTGAAATCAGGGTGAAATACCACGAGGCTCGCTCAGGAATGAGGACAACCTTATATTATTGAAGCCAGAATCATCCAGGCAGCAAGTAGTGGGTACAGCCCCGTTCATAAAAATCTTATTTGCAGGACGCGTGCACTGCTCCCATAGCGTCAGAGACCCCTCTTCCTAAGCCGTATGTCACTTATCAACTGCAGGCGTGAAGGTCAGGTCAAAGTAGGCAATAACGACTGAAGCGCGCACCGACAACTGACATGTAGGAAGGAAATATGTGAATACAGTAAAAACCCTAACTTGAAGGAGGGAGGTAGTGGTAAAGTGAGGATACCGCTCACTTGTGGTAGAAGTTCAGGGTACGACAAAGGAAGTGAACAGAGTTCGACTGAGGAAGGAAAATAAGACGAGGTAGCAGACCAGGACATGGATACGGTTCCTACAATGATTGGTAGAGCTTTTCAAATGAGAGAGAAGGTAATGCAGAACCTGTGGTGACAGCCGCAGGTTACAGCGCAAATCAATCAGGAACAATCAGTTATAGACAAACGCATTTGAATAACCAATGCAGGGTTAGCAACCAACATAATCGCTTGTGCCCTATATATTTTTCGTCAGTAAAACGTGAGTTCCACGGAGAAAGTTGATGCCGTTTTCGGCCAATGGATGAAGGATGATACACCAATTGGACGTGATGGTCATCACACATGATGTCGGACATGCTGGCTTTCTCCCTTTGAGATGCACCTCGTCAGCGGTTCGGGCTATTCTCTGCATGGTGGAATCCCAGTCAGTGCTCCTTTTGTATCCATTCTTATCCTCATTCTCCGTTGTTTCTTCTATCTGAATTTCGAATCGACCCGCCCCCGTAATAAACTTTACTGCCGCTGAGACTTTACCTCTTGGTGACCTGTTGGACAGTGTGAAAGAGTGGGTGTTCTTCTGTCTGTCCTGTGCAAAACATATGATCCACATATGGCTATCACCGACGGCCTGTTCCGTCAATAATTCCTCGTGATATCGTAAAACGTATTCTTGTTTCATCTGAAGAGATATTTTAGTCATGTTTTCTTTTTTTTTGTCTGGTTTCAGCAACATTGTGTCATGCACGCGGTCGAAGCAATCAGGTCGCCGTTATCCCATCACCCATGGCCAGGAGGATAATGTGATATTGAAGTGACCGGTTGTTGAACCACCATATTCGAGTGTTTGATGATTGTATGCTTGTGTTCATCTGTTTTTTCTTCGTTCTTAAATCTCACATGCGTATGTTTGCTACCAGTTGGTACCTTTCTCTTTTCATTCAACAACCCCCATGGTTCACTTCCGGTCTAGCTCAGGTGTGAAGGTCGTGATCGTTTTTATCGCCCCGATTAGCCCAAGCGGCCCATCGTCGGTTCACGCAAGCTACATCTGCTGGCCCATCGCTCGTCCGAACTGACCACTGCCACTTGAAAGGCTGATTCGCACAGCTTTACGCTGTCCGGGGGATGCATTCTCTGCTGATAACTGGCTCATACCATCTCTTTGTCCGAGCCGTGTATTTCTTTTTTTTGTTACCTCTCACGCATTGTTCTCTCGCACTCGTACACATCCGTATCAGATTATGAGGTTTAGTTTTTGTTCACGCTTCTTCTTCGATTGTGCTTCCAAATCGAGCTTAGCCCGGTTTTAACAATCAGTGTCCCTGTTTTTTTTATCGTGGTTCTAGCGACTATCGGATCGTATTTTGTCGCCCCCCCCCCACCGCCTCTCCCTCGATTTTCTACCGATCCTATGTGATCCATACTGATGCACACTTGCGCCTATCCTCATGCCAAATTCCAACCGTGATCCTCCTTTTGACTTGGCTGTTTGTGTCCCCCCCTGCTCACTGACTAGCCAAACGATGTGGATAATGGCCTACTTGTTGCATTTGTCCATCAGTCAGCTCCAGTCACATTGTGGTATGCAATAAGTCATGAGTGGTAGAATTTTTATTCCGGCTGTGTGTCCAACCTGGGTAGAATTTTTATTCCGGCTGTGTGTCCATTTGGACCAACCTGTGAACACTGTGAACCGCTTCCGCATTTGTTGTGTCTCCACGGTCTCGCTGCACGTTATCCTGCTCAGGTCTCCTTGTGTTCTACGCTAGCAAGAACATCCCATGTCACCCGTTCCTGCTTTCTGAACAGCTCCGGTGTTCATGTGCGCTCGTGTGCCTCGATATGTACTTCCCATGACTTAGATTTTATATGTATGTATTTACCCATCACACGCGTGCGCGCGCACGCACGCACGCACACACACATACTGATTGTTCATCAGTTTTGTTTGTCGCCTCTTCTCAGCTAATTTACTTATCTCTTCAGAGCTTGTCCCATCTTTATGCTGTTATCAGCTTGAACTTTTACACTTCCTTTCACAGTTGGAACCACGTGAACTTGACTTACGTATACGTGACCTCAGTTTAACACTGATATTCTTGGTGGCAACTTTTGTGTCTTGTCATTCCCTATTCTTCACACTAGGGCCCGTTGATCTGACACCACCTGTCCCTGTCAAGAGCTGGGAGTGACTTCTTGTTGTGTGCGATTTCCCATTCACGTGTGCCTTTTTTGTTGGTTGGCATTGCTCAGCATCCATCATTGTCGAGTAAAATCACTCAACTCACCTCGCCTCGAAGACTGTGCACGCTAATTACAGTTTTGTCCACTACGATCCTTAGGTCCCCATATTCAGATTACATTAATTCAATGCGCACCTATGTACCACCTCTGTCTTTTCAGTTCCTCCGCGGACAGGCCCGTGTTTTGACCAAATGTCTCGGGTCATTGCTGTCCCAAGGTTTCCGTGCAATGCACTGGTTCCGTTGCCATCCTTAACTAAGTACTTAGGAAGCACGATGGCCTCAGAAACCACGGTAAGATCGCTAGTATGTGCGCTTTCTCAAAGCCTTTTGCCCTATTCAACAGTAAAGTGAGCAAACCTGCTCCCGAAACTCGTCGACACGTCAATCCACCAAGTCTTTTGGATTAATGCAATTCTGTTGCCATCCTTGACCTCGCGAGGCACGGGTTTGGTCACTCCAAGTTAGGCTCGTTTACGACACTCGGATGAATACCATCACGTTCACACCCACACCTTCAGGGTTCACGGCAGTTCTATGTGGCTTGCTTGTCATCAGACCAGACCACCGAAACAGTTAGATTTCATGTTCCTTAGGAGAGACTGTATCGTTTTCTAGATTCACGACCTAGCCGACACTGTGTTTGAGCAGCTCTGCCTCTGATAGATTCAACCCCAACGGAGTCAATGCCTCTGAACTGTCGCAAGCTGGATTTCGTATTTGCCGGTCGATGGCGGCCAAAACACTACACATAATGGAAGCGCTGGGCACAACTGAATTTGGTAGATACGAGGTCCTGGTGCCAAAGTGAGCCTGGGAGCGAACACGCATATGCGTCCCAGAAATCACATAACAAGGAACTCCGACACTGGTTACTGATGTGTTGGCGTCACGTGTCGACTAGTTGTTCAACAGAGTATCACCTCCAGTATGGTACCGTGTGCCACCGTTCCCATTAATGCACACCGAAGGCCGTATTGGGTAACCTGGCAACATTCCGTTGCCATACAATAAGTCATATCATCATTAGGGCGACAGCATAGAGTAGACACTGGTTTGGAAGTGGGACGGGTCTTATTCCGTTCCGCGTGTTCATATTATCACGTGGATAGCTGAGTGCGCTGGACCTGACCTAAATCTGTCACCTTGTGGTTGTTGGGCTTCAGTGATTCCGCAGACTGTAGTTTGGTTCACTAGGATTCAACAATACTAGGAAAGCACACGGGGAGCAATCATACAGAAAAGCGAATACCTGTGCTGCAAGATATCCCGTTATGAAGTGGCCCGGAATTAGAGTGATTGTTTTCTTCGATAGGCGTGCGAAGACCTTCAGGCCACCAAGATTTTCATACTTTTAGGGGCAACAATGCTGCGTTTTCCGAGGACGGTTTAAAAAAATGTTCTTAAAAGCGAAAGACTCCTATTTCCCAAAGGTTGACCGTGACCACCGGCGCATTATCCAGCACCGTCAAGGTACTTTTAAACGCAGAATATGATGTTACTCTGAAGGTACATGTTATGGGAAGCCGCGTTAAGAGTCAGACTAGGACGCGTTACTCCCCTTGTCCTACGGCCAGACAGACCCCAGCAATCGATCGGGCTTAACTGTTAAGTCGATTGTCCAGAAAAGTCCCCTAAAAGAAACCCTGACGACCTCTAGCCCGTGGTCCGAACATTTTTGCGGAGATGCTAGGGAAGGGTCCGCGATCAAAATCCTACACCCTAACATTGGTTTGTGGGTCCAACTCGAGTCGAACGCCCGAGGTGGGGTACCTCAACCAAACATCCTTCCATTCCCACAACTAGGAAGTATCATTCGTTCTTACAGCTCTTCATTCAATTTCGATTCCACAAGTCCCTCACCTAAGTTCTGACTCATTTAGCTGTCGATCAGCTATCCTCCGTTTAGCGAAACCAGTCAAAATAAGCCGTTATTAATATCAGGGGATCTGCTCCGCATTTCGACCTTCAACTTGTGTACTCTGTCGAATTGGGCGACTGGTTGGTCTTACTGAGACCTTGTTTCTTTCGGTTGACCCATGGTGTCTCCAAGGGGGCGAGATGCCCAGTGTTTTAGGGCGCGAATTTACTGACCGGAAAGTCCGTGGTTCGAATCCGACCTCCGCCTCTCGACTTCCCCAGTCTAGGCTTGGGCAACCTGGCAGCATCCCGACCCTCGTGCTTCCCCATGGTGGCATAGCGGTTAGGCACTGAAAGGGTGCTACAGCTGAACAATGGTGTCTCCGAAACGCGCATACAAACCACATCAAACCAATCGGTTCGAATCCGGATTCTTCTCATCTTACTCTTCGTGAATCTTGCGATCCTGACGCAGTGGCTCGTGATACCTATGGTATGGGAGTTGTGCTTTTCCTCAGAGCTGAATGCGCCTTACTGAACTAGATTCCGTTAAATAACCGTCTTTGCGCTAGTAAGTCATTGGTCCGATCTTCTCATCTTACTCTTCGTGAATCTTGCGATCCTGACGCAGTGGCTCGTGATACCTATGGTATGGGAGTTGTGCTTTTCCTCAGAGCTGAATGCGCCTTACTGAACTAGATTCCGTTAAATAACCGTCTTTGCGCTAGTAAGTCGATTGGTCCGATCAAGTTCAATGCATCTCAACACGGTGAACGATACCTGGTTGTTGTGTTAGCATATGCTCTGGTAGACATCGGTTCTGAGGATAATGTAGACAGCCTTTATCATGACTGAGTCCTGAGGAAGACTCTCACTGCGGCTTATTTCAAGTTAGCGCTCACCGCAAAGATGGTGGAGAGCGGTTTCTCTACTTATGGGCTAAACATCATTTCTTTCTGGCCAGTAAAGGCGCCTCACACTGTCAGACAACCAGTGACCACCAGATGGATTCAGTTGGACCTCGTGGCAATCAGAACCTGGTGAAAAGTTTAGATACAGCATCTTCATTTACTTGATTTTAATCATGGCATTGTATGGACACGTCTCTCTATTCGGTTTCCATCTGGAACATGCCGCTTGATGCAAGGCCATCTAGTCCATCATCCGCCAGGCGTCTTGGGAACCTGACAACATGGTTTCAACTGAAAAACTCAGAACCTCAAGGGCTTGGATGACGACTGGAATAGATTGAAGAGAAGCGAACCGTCAGGCGTGATCGGACTCACGTTGTGTGCCTCAGAAAAAACGGCGGTCTTGAATTGTGCGTCTCCATCGGACCCATTTGAATCCACGGTTCATCTGGATGTAATGGCCGCCGAGTTACACGGTGCATGCGTTTATATTGAAAATTTGTGCTTGTCGGATGGTCAGCGCATAATTGGATGGGTCACTCTTTTGTCTGCGCAGCAAGCACTGCCTTCGAATTGACCGCCCAGGTGCGATTCCAGAGAGCTCAGGCGAAGACTTTGTTATTCGTATTACCCGCAAGGATGAAAATGTCAGCACTTCTTGCTTGGTGAGTGAGTCCGGATCAACCTCGATTGAAAATGTTCTCCTCGGCACCAGAACTGCAGTCCGTTGGGGCATATGTCCATACTACACACAGGCACCATAATAAAAATAATTGTCCAGCTGTAGCACCCTTTCGGTGCCTAGCTGCCATGCCACCCGAAGGAAGCACGAGGGCTGGGAAACTGCCAGGTTGCCCAAGCTTAGATAGAGGAATTTGAGAGGCAGAGGTTGAGTTCGAACCTTCCAGTCAGTAAATTCGCGCTCTAACCACTTGGGCCATCTCGCCCCCCACAGGCACTGTTCTTCATTTAGAACTCGAAAGTTGAAAACTCCCATGTAGAAAGGATATAACAGTGTTATCTTGTTAATCATTAATGGGCATCGGACTGTATAGGGCATGTCAGTCGGATGGCTGACAGTCAAGTGGTCCGGAAACGTCTTCCTGTATGGTAGAAAGGGGTTGGGGAGGGACATCGATGGACAGTACAAACATGTATCGGTTTGCATGTCAACCAGTATTGGGCTTGATTGAGATGGATAAGCGAACGGCGCGAAGGTGATCGTTCAGGGCTGGCTGCATCTCCCATGTCATATTGGATGAATAATCGCCTCTGTATGACCGGACACACGAAAAGTGAAGTATGAAAGAGCTGACAGCAAACCCAACTACAATGTAGGGTGAAGGTCAGACTAATCCGATCTCCACACCACTGCACCTAATCAACAATTCAATCCAATTTATCAGGTGTAAACTGTGTGCCGTAGGGACTCTAGTTACATCTGCTACAGTTTCGATCACCACCTAATCGACGACAGGTAGTCTTGGTTCCAGAGATAGTCTGTTAATTTGGAGGGTGTGACCTTTCTTCATGTCAGTTCCTCTGACCCA